TCTCCTTTGATACCTGCCAAAGAACCTTATCACCAAGGCTCAACAATATTGTGCCGTGGGCTTTCTCAATTATGGTCGTCTTTTATTTTTCCGTTAATACAGCGTCCATGGCTACCTCTCCCTTCAACGCTTCCAAACAATCCTGCTGAACCAGTAGGGCTTTCATCTTCAAGCGCCACAGACCAAAGTCATTCACTCTGGTGAACTTTTTAATCTCATACTTTTTTGAAGGCATCTTCTCCATGCTCACTGCACCAATTTGTTGTGAATTGGATCTCTTGAAAAAAAATATAAACGATTTCTTTATGATCAAGAAACACACAAGGGTTAGGGTTAACAAAGAAACCAAGGTAAAACAACAAGAAACAACAAGAATTGTTTATAAACTGTTATTCTTTCCTTTCTCTTAGAAACAAGATTACAAGTATAACAAAATAACCTCTCTCTCTTGAAATTTGGATTTTATCTTCCTATTTTTTTCCTTATACAAGATGAGAGACTAGCATGCTATTTATAAGAAACTTGGCACACTAACCTAATGGGCTTTTTAACAATTACATATTACAAGCTAACTTAGGGTACAAGCTAACTTAAGCAATTTGGGCTTGCAAGTAAAGCCTGATTTAACATGCTAACAAACCTAACAATATTGACTAATGCATGTTAGTACAAATCTCGACTACAACACGCATTACTCACGAACAGACTTCGACCATACTAGAGTTCGATCCAATATCTCACACATTATTTCTAAGCATTTCACCTCTAATTATATTTCTAATTTTCCTAAATGTTTATAGTTATATGCAGGTTGTGACTCCAACCAGGATGAAACTCACACTTTATCAGCTTCAATTATCTAATAATGCTTTGTTGAATGATGTTATGACAAAGGTTGCACGTTATTGGGATGCTCAACAAAAGAGAAGGAAGTCAGTGGTTAAAGTATGAAGTTTGGGATAATGTTGAATTATGTTGGTTTTATTCTGATTGGGTTGTACTTTGGCTATTCTATTTGTGTTAATCAGTTTGATTTCAAATAATTTGGCATCAATGTGGTTGTTATCCCATGTTTGTTTGATAATTTAATTTGTTTGTAATTTGGATAATATGATCGTTCACTCTTTTATTGTTCACTTTATATTTATTGGATTATTTAATTTGTTTGTATTTTAGATAATTTTCCCGTTCACTGTATGATATTTCACTCTATATTTGTTGGATAATTAATTCTTTTTTTGTATTTTGGATAATGTGATCTTTCACTCTATGAATTATTTTCCTGGTGTTAATAGTGCATTACTACTTTGACGTTTGGATTTAGCATACACACCAAATACACTTAACATTTTTTACATCTAGATTTAACATACCTCCTTGTGATCTAGCTAAGTACAACTGACTTTAACATTCACATTTTCCTTCTTCATATGTTGACTTCATCTCTAATCAGCATGTTGCATATTCATCTAAGCTGTTTCAAATTGTAATAAAAATCATATTAATATCCAACAACAGAAGTCAACCTTAGCCAATAAAGTGAAATTTTTCTATTGCGTCAAAACTTGATATTGGAAATAAACAAAACTTTTCATGTATTAATCTAAGCTCTATAACAATTTGATATTGGAAATTAACAATAGTTTTCTTGTAACAACATCCTTGCAAATTTGAACTCAATATAAAGCATTACCTATTATATCGTTCTATACAAGTTACATGTATATCATTACATTGGATAATTCATAATTTATCAAACTTGTGGACTTGTCTAATGAGTTAAGGTACATTGAAAAATCTTCACTTGCAAGTATAAAGTTTACATTATTGAACTCAATTACACGACATTATCTACAATATCGTTCTATAAAAGTTAGTGTACTAGAACTTATCTCAAATTTACAGGCATGTATTTCCTATGCTAAGTGTTTTCATCCCACATAGAGAAAGCCCCTGGGCTTGTCAATACCACCCATTAACTCAGATATGTTTACCCATTCAACCCCTTCTTCAACGTGTGTTTTCGAGTTCAAACTCGTTAATTGTTAGCTCACATGTTTCCTTTCTCTCATAAGAACCTCATACAACAACTTTCCTTACATGGGATATTGCATCCTTTATTCGATTGCATTAAATTTGAAGAATAAATTATCAAAATAATTCACAATGCCACACAAACTAAATTTGAATAATATCACAATCTAATTTCACAATTCAATTGAGATGCTAACAATTCAATAACATAACATCAAAATATAAAATTTCAATTCAAATAAAACCCTAAAGATTCAATTGAGAGGCTCTACAAGGCCTTTCATTTTTAGAGATACAACCATTGCTTCTCATCTCATAGGAGATATATTGCTGCATCACTAAAAACATTTTTGTTGTGGAACCAAGTGTTTTCCCTTCTTATGAAGATATATTGCAAAATTGACAAATAAGTTTTTTCTATGGTGTGGTAAGATCAATAAAATATTTAAAATATAAGGATAAAACATATAAATGAGCACTAATTCTATGATTATATTATGAAAGGATCGCGAAGTTCCAACCTTTTGAGGCACTTGCACAAGGTGCTCTTGTCAGCTATATGTTCACAACATATTATAGGTTAAATGATATTATTTAAACAAAACTGAAAAAATATGTTCAATTATAATATTGGTGGCTATTTTCTCATTTCTTGTTGTGTCCTCTTGGCAAATAGTTTGACATAGTTCTTCATCTGCTGATACCTCATGAGAAAAGTTCTTACAAGTTGATACCTCAATATAGCATTTTGCAAGAGTCAACATATGTTGATCAAATTAAGGTAGAATGCATTTTCCGGGTAGCAAGAGAACCCTTCATTATTTTGAATGGAAAGAGTCATCTAACATGATAAACTCTAAATAAAGAGCAAAAGACTGTTGATTCGCTGTCACGCACAGATAAAAAACGAGTATTTTTGAAAATATAGTTAACGGTAACAACAACTCAAATATCGTTCTCAAGGATTCTTGTATTATTATTAACCAACCGATTGGACAATGGGGGGGGGGGGGATTGAGTTTCGATTAACAGAAAAATAGTGCAATTAAGTGATTATCAAAATAAGCTAAAACGACTAATCCTACTAATTCGGGTTCCGACTTATCATCGACTATTATAACACCAATCTATAAGGGGCTTCGATCCTATTTGATTATGAGATCAATTAGACAAACGCTTATAAAAAACAAATGAATTGTGTTCTTGTTTACTGAATTAAGCAAACGGTTAAGAATAGGACGAGTTAACGAATTAAGCAAACGATAACACACAATTAAATTTAAGAACATGCATACAATCGAATTTAATAAATTCTATCATCTGAACAACAATCAAATTAAGCAAACAATTGCAATTAAATTAAGCAAATGACTTCATAGAAAAGGATTGAAAGGAATCGAATTTAAATTGGTATTAGAATAATGTCAAAGCGCTGGAACCCGTAAGCAACAGGATTTGCCTTCGGAAATTAGTTTTCCATTCAAATCGTACAAAACAAAAGAAAAATCGTGAAAATAAGGTAATGAACAGTAGCGTGACTGCTACTAGGTATAGGGAAACATCAAATTCAGGTTATAACCCAACTGGGTCAAAAAACATAAAAAACCCGGCGCAAAACTAAATATTTCTAACGTTTGAAACTTCAACGAATTATTCAAGTTTGTTACACTCCGAATCAACTTCTAGATTCAACATGAAACTTGTAGCTCTTTGTCTTAGCTTTCCAACGCCTATCAGAACGCATCAATCCGACTATCGTAGCTCAAGTTATAGTCTGCACAGTAAACATGTATCAAATAACAGTTAATGCTAAAAATAAAATACAAAAATTAAATAAAGGCAAAAATAAACTAAAATATAAAAAATAATACTACAATAGTAAAAATAATAAAATAAACTATAGAAATGCCTAAGTACAATGGTAGAAGAATATGCATCAAGATGTACTGACCAACTGCTCAATACATCACACACTTATTATAATATTATATTGAACCCCAATTACATAATTTTTGGGTAAAAATTTAAATCGATTTAAAAAAAAAATACAAACCCTAACCCAATCAATAATTTTTATGTAATAATTAAAATCAATTTGATTTTGAGAAATATACAAATTGGGATGGATATGAACAACTACCTGTAAAAAATTTACAAGTTGAGATGCTTTGAACGGACAACGAACATGGAAATTTTTTCAAACAATTTGATGAACACCACAACCAATACAAAGTACATAAACATCTGCTCTGAAAGCTAAAAATCAAAAAGGAACACAGGTACAAAATTGGATGAGAGGCAAGAGTTGGAATAAGAAGGATATAATTTAGAATAACATTGAAGTGAAATAAATAAGAATTCGGTCTTCATCATTAAAAGTAGATTTATGATGAAAAGGAAGAAGAAGAAGAAGACAACGAATAATAGAACATATGAGTGAGATTTAATGATATAAGATTTTCAAATGTAAAATTTAATATACAGGAGAAGGAATAAGATGGATAATATTTAGTTGATAATATTGAAGGATGAACTAAAACAAATAGAAATCCGATCTCCACCATAAAAAAAAAAAAAGATGATGAAGGGTTTTAGAATTTAGGAATTTCAATTAAAAATTAATTTTGTCAAAGAAAAATGATTTTTAATTTAATATTAATTTTATTGAAGACTTATATGCAATAAATAAATTTTTTATTTAAAATGTTGATGGGAGAGTTAAAGTTTATAGTAATGTCTTTTGATGGATAAGAAATTGACTTAAAAAAAAAAGAAGTCATTTCTCCAACTTGTCTTCAAGAAATTAGAGAATATTTATTCCAAAAATTTAGTGACTTTCTATTTGTGTGTCTTGAAGAGAATATTTATTCCAAAATTGAAGACCCCGCTTAAAACGTTCACTCTTTCTTTCCCTAATCATCATTCTCACGCACGTAAGGGTTTCATTTGGCTGCAGTTTTTGATTCATGGACCCTGATGTTGTCGAAATTCCTCCTCCAATTTTCAAACACACTCCTAGGTTCAAAAAACACAAACAGGTTTCTATCTATCCATTCTCAAACCCTTTGTTGTTTAGCTTTTTTTTTTTTTCATTGTATCTATTCAAAGTTTTCATCTTTATTTAAATTCTTCATCTGGGTTTTCACTTTTCACTGTAGATTATTTCTTTATGTTAAGGTTCTGCTTTAAAAATCACTGCTTTTGCTACTTCATATTGTTACTTCTCTTACGATCATGATCACCTTTCGAGCTCTGTTAGAACTAGAATCGGTTTAGCCCTAATGTTCTGATTGCAACATTTATAACTTTTTGGTTCTTTGTTTAATATACTCAATACTGGTTTTTCTGTTTTATGTTCTTATCATAAAAGGGGTATAACCCTTTGTGGATTAATTGTTTATGCATTCTGGTTTAAATTTGTAGTCCATTTTCCACGATGTGATTGACATTGTCGATGATAGTGAGAATGACGGTGATGATTTGATGATACTCGGTGAAGTAACTCGTAAACGTAGCAAGGGGAAGACACCTGAGGCCCTTCATGAGGGTTATGGCGATAATCATCTAGTTGCGGTTTGTATAAGATGGTTTCTGTTATTTCTTGTAATAGATTGATATTATTTTTGTTCGCAATCCTTTTAAGGAATTGTCTTGTTTTATTTATTGGCAGCGTGGCGTGGAAAAAAGTGGAACAGTTAGTGGAATTGGGTCTTCTAATCGTCAACCTTCGGTATCACATAATGTAATCGATGTAGACGAGTATGCCTTATTACAGGCACAATTTGATAATGCTAAGCAGGGAGCGGGCAGTAGTAGCAGTTCATTCCATTCAAATTTTGTTGGACATGACGGATCATTGTATTCTTCTGGAGTAGAATCAGGATACATTTGGTCAAATAGTTCTTATAACTTCAATGCCACTCCTATGCATGTGCATGGTTCCACTAGTGCTCTCGAATCTGGAAGAGATGTACACAATGGAGCAGCTGCTGTTCTCCCACAATTTACAATAATTGATAAAGCTGAAAATGAAACTCTGAGGAAACTTCGAAGTTTTAAGCAATTTGATACTGTCGTTGACACTTCGGATCATCACTTTATTAATCATAATTCCTCCACAAAGCAGAATCCAAAGAGTTGGGCTAAAAAAATCCAGGAAGAGTGGAAGATTTTGGAGAAGCATTTGCCGGGTGAGTTTAGTATTCCGAATACTAAGTAGCCTGTAATACTTGTTCTGATGTTGGAATCAAGAGTTTATAAACTCTATAGTGTGAAAGCTGTTTCTGGCATATTGCTCAATCTGACCATTTGTTCGACTTTTTCTTTATTGCCCATTAGATACAATTTTTGTGAGAGTCTACGAATCAAGGATGGATCTCATGAGGGCTGTGATTATTGGAGCAGAAGGGACTCCTTACCACGACGGTCTTTTCTTTTTTGATATTTTATTTCCCAGTGGCTATCCTAATGTACCCCCGGTACGCGGTTGAGGACACTATAACTGACTCACATTATTTTCTTTATCAGTCTTTTTAGTTCAATTCTGAAAAAAAAGTTTTTATTTTTTCTCGTGGCAGAAAGTCCATTACCACTCTGGAGGTCTTCGGATCAACCCGAATTTGTATAACTGTGGCAAAGTATGTCTCAGTCTACTTAACACCTGGGCTGGCAGTACGAAAGAGAAATGGACTAAAGGTGTTTCAACAATGCTACAAGTTCTAGTCTCCATACAAGGGCTAATCTTGAACACAATGCCTTTCTTCAACGAACCTGGATATGAAGCCTCGAGGGGTACACCAAAGGGTGAAATGCAGGCTCGGCAGTATAACGAAAATACATTCATTCTGTCGTTGAGGACAATGATGTATACGATAAGAAAGCCTCCAAAGGTTTGATTCATATCTTGTATATCTCTCTATCATGTTTGCTTGCATTTATTTTTTTTCCTTGATGTAAAAAGTTTTTCAGAGATGCATGATTATATTTCAAGGATTAAAAAAGATATTTGTGAAGATATTCAAGGAAAAAAAATAAACGCAAGCAAACATGGTGAAAAAATGTCTTACAAATATCTACACGATGTCTGCAAAAATGTACTGTATTGCAAATAATTTATTTCTTTTCTTGGGGTTCAAGCAACTGATTTAAGTCATTTTTGGTTTTTCAGAATTTTGAAGATTTAGTTGTCGGGCATTTCTACAGCCGAGCGCATGATATTCTGGCATCATGCAAAGCATACATGGAAGGTGTTCAAGTTGGTTGTTCGGTCAAAGGTGGGGTTCAAGACATTGATGGGAGTAAAGGAAAAATATGCTTACCTATATTTAAGTCTGGTTTAGTTGGATGTGTGCCTTCTCTTATCAAAGAGTTCGAAAATGTTGGAGTTAAGGACTGTGAGTTCGGAAATGTTGGAGTTAAGGACTGTGAGAAGCTCACGTCTCGGGTACGACGCAGTACCACCAGCAGAAAGTGATTTTGCATAACTACATGAGTGTGATCATAGAACATTCCTTTTCAAAACTCAATGGTGAGACTGATGATACTAAAGGCTATTACATCAACATCATGTTGGTTTTTGTTTTTGTTTTATCATCTCTTGTTTCTTGCTCTAAAATAAAAGCAAGAAATCTAGCTTTTATTTTTCATTTTCGTTTGTAATTACACAAATTTGATGTTAATTTTTCACTTTGCTTCGTTCTTTTTTATTACAAAGTTAGAGTCACCACTGTTACTTAGTGTCCATTGGACGACCACAAAAACAGAAAAGCATTAAAAAAGAGCTTCCCACTATGGTGAAAAATTGAAAATGTCTTTAGAATAGATAGATACATCTCCGAAAGCATATTTTATACACGTATTTTAATATTTCATTAGAATAGATAGATACATCTCCGAAAGCATATTTTATACACGTATTTTAATATTTCATAAATGAGACATTCATGTATAACTACAATAAATTTGTTGTTAGATTTGTTGTTTACATGATCATCATTATAATAGTTAATTTGGATCTAATTATAGCAAATTCAATCCTTTAAATTTTCAAAATTTTTTTCATGCTAAAGAGATGCTTGTAATGAATTAAACTTAGATTTTTTTCATAATTTTTTAAATGCAATTTATAAGAACTATATCACAAAATTGAAGTTTTTTTTGACGTGGGAAGAATTTAACATGAATTTTTTGAACACTATTTATCTATGAAGCAGAAAAAATAAAAACTTTGGTCTATGATTTAATTTTGACCTAATATTTTGTATGAGTTTTTCACATATAACTTATAAAGTATATAACTTATAAAGTGGATCTGCAAAGTTTCATGGCATTTTTAATAAGTTTCTATTTATTTTAATTTTTTTTATGGAAACACATAAAAATGAATTGTTATTATGAGAAAATAAATCAAAATAAATTAAGGTTTTCTCAAAATGCTACAAAAATTTGCATTTCCTTTCTATTTTTTGTAAAAGAAATCCGCATAAATAATTAGATAAAAATGTGATGCATAACCATTTTTTTTTTGTTGTTTCCGCCTTTTGCACACTTAACATTCAAAAAATCACAATAGATTGATGCATATGCCAGGAAACTTTGTAATTAGTATTTATTTGTTGTTATAGAAATTTTTGGAAAAAATATATCAAAATGGGATGTGTAAATTCATTTATACGTGTTTTAATAAATAAAAAAATCAAACTAAATTGAGACTTGCTATAAATGTCATGTAACTTTTCAGTTCCATTCTATGAGGTATTTGGGAAATCCATGCAAAATAGTAGTTTAAAATTCAATCATATGTCAAAACTTATATGTTAAAGTTTTCATTGTTTCTGTTTCATGGAAAATAAACGCTTAAAAAATTTATATTTATTAATCTCAGATAAAAAAACTCCAATTTTTGTGGGAGAAATTCTTATAAAGTGATAAACTTGCATGCAAAAATTTATGAAAAAAATATAAGTCTAAGTCATTATAAGCATCACTTTAATATGAAAAAATCAAAAATTTAAGAGATTAAAGTTGTTACTAATTAACTACTACAGATTAGCTATCATTTATGAATTTAAGTATGATGTTCATCTTAACAACAAATTTAAGGTTGCTATATATAATTAATATTAAAAATATAAAATGATCAAAATTACCATGTGGTGTGCCATGCCAACACATTTGCCATGTTGACACTGCCACATGTATACTCTAGTTATTAAAAAATTTCATTCGAAAGATTTTTTTGAAGGATTAAAATTGAATTATGTTATATTTATGAGGACCTGTAACATATTTACCCTTAATATTTACAATATACCATTTGATCTCATTTATACTAATATTTGGGGCCATGTAGCATTTTCTTCCAAATATGGATATTAGTACTATATTAGTTTTGTTCATGCATGCACAAAATATACTTGAATTTACTTTCTTAGACTTAAGTCTGATGCTATGAATGCATTTAAGTTGTTTTTTTTTTGTCTATGTCGATACTCAATTAAACACTAACATTAAAGGTGTGGAATCTGATTTTGGTTGTGAGTTTAGGCCATTTACTAAGTATTTGATTGAATTGGGAATTATGCCTAGATTAACATGTCCATACACATCTTATCAAAATGGCTCAGTTGAAAGAAAACACATGCAGGTTGTGGAGATGAGCCATACTCTCCTTAAACACACATCTATTCCACTTTCTTATTGGGATATAGTTTAACCATGGTAGTTTACCTTATTAAAATGCTTCTAACCACAGACTTATCTCATTTCACAAGTTCTGATAAAAGTCTTGTCTACAAACTACATAAGAAACTATATAATCTTAAACAAGCACCAGGGAAATGATATGAAAAGTTTCACCAAGATTTCTTTCACTTCGGCTTTGTGTCAAACAGGTGTAACCATTCCTTATTTATTTACTCTCATCAAGGCATCATCATGTATGGTTTAATGTATGTAGATGACATTTTAATGACTAATACATCCTCTAAACTATTTCATGATCTTATCAACAAACTTCACCTCAAGTTTGTGTTGAAGAAAGTTGGTATACCTGAATACTTATTAGGCATTGAAGTAAGTTACCATGCTTAATGCTCTATTATTTTTCTTATGTTCAAGTACATCAAATTTCTCCTAGCAAGAGCCATCATGTCAGATGTCAAGGGAGCTCCCACACCAATGGTCAACAATTTTAAACTCACCAAACATGCCTATGATACTTTCTCAGATCCTCACTAATACAAGTCAATTGTTGGAGCTTTACAATATGTTACCCTAACTAGGCCTAACATTGCTTTTAGTATTAACAAGGCATTTCAGTTCATGGTTTCTCCTCTTACCTCACATTGGATAGTTGTTAGAAGAATTTTTAGATACCTAAGTGGCACAATCAATTAAGGTTTCACCTTTCTTCCTTCTAATGCTCATAATAAGTTCTCTCTTAGAGCATACAATGATAGTGCTTGAGATAATGTCATTGATGATAGAAGGTCTACCTTGACTCATGCATCTTCTTTGGCTCAAACCTTGTCCCACGGAGTTTCTAAAAAACAATTTTTTCGTTGCTAGATCCATTGAAGAGGCTGAGTATCGAGCACTAACCTATACAACCTTTAAACTATTATAGCTAGAATCTCTCCTAATTAAGTTGTGCATCTTATTCTTCCCTCCCACCTTGTTGTATGACAATCTAAGTATTGTTGATCTCTCACACAATCCTATCTTACACGCTCGCATTAAACTCATTGAGTTGGGCATTCACTACTACATAAGTGATTTTAACGTAGGATGCGAAATGCATTTTATTACCGTTGTAGTTGCGAGATAACGAATGACATCATGAAAAGTAACGGCTTATCACCTCAGTTTTTTAAACACTGAGGGGGTATATTAATTTGCGCAAGAGTTCAAACCCCAACATTAGCATTTTTATTATTTACAAAACTAATGCCTCATACATCTCGATTTACAATAACACCGAGGGGTAAGATATACTGTTTTTTTAATTGAAATACATTACATTGTTTACACAGAAAATAAATAAAAATAATTTATTCACAAACCACAATGTTTACACAGAATATTACATTGCTTACACTGAATATTAAAATAAAAATTAATTTAACCTTGAAGATTATATGTTGCTTCTTCGACTCCTTGATATTTAGGTAAGATCAAATGCTTCACCTTGCAAGTATTTTTTTCTGATATAAAACAAAAAAAGGGTTACCAAAAAAAAGTTAAAAAAATAAATAATTTTATACTCAAATTAATATTTAAAAACACAAATTTTAAACTCAGATAATTTTCTGCACTTGCAATCTATCATAAATAACTCTTAATGACAAAAGTTAAAGTGGAGGATGTAAATAACTTCAAGACGTTTCTTATATATATATATATATATATATATATATATATATATATATATATATATATATATATATATATATATATATATATATATATATATATATATATATATATATATATATATATATATATATATATATATATATATATAAAGAAGGCCTTTATAATGGAAATTTTTAAGTTTCACGAGGATCACTAATGATAGTGTCTTGAGCGTTGGTAATCATAAAATGGACGACAAAGACTTGTTTAAGGAAGATGATCAATATCTAAAATTATCACTGTAACACCTCAAAAATTTAAAATTATTTATCTAAATGAATTGTTTGTGATTTATTGAGGAATTATGTGATGTATGATGATGTGTGATGAAACATTGTTGTGAGAGAGTTAATTATTAGAATTATTTAGATTTAAATAATTTAGTTATATTATTTAGATTTATAATAATAATAATTAAAATAAGAATGTTAAACTGAAAATAAGGATAAGGGCAAGCCATAGAAAGGGTCCTAGAGTTAAACAAGTAAAATAAGGAAAGAGAATTCATTTTGTACGATCATAATATTTGAGAAGAACAAAAGAAAGGTTAGGGCTTACAGAGAATCAAGAGGAGAACTTGGTAGAACGTGAAAGAAGAGAGTCAATCGCTAGGAATTGAGGTAAAGGGTGTAATCCTGGTTTATTATGATCGATAGATGTAGGTTTTGTCTTGTATGATGAATTGATAAAAGTATGATGAAAAGTATGGAGAAATTGTTGATGTTGATTTGTTGCAATGTCGATCCTTGATGAATTGATGCAATGGTTATGGATTATTGTTAATCTTTGATACTATACCATAATAAATGATTTTAGAATGATTAGACAGTAGAAAAATTGATATAATTATGAATCTATGCTTGAGAAATTGATGAATAATATGTATTTAATTTCTTTGGATGATGTGCTATATGTTATGATATGTTTTAGATTGTTGGAGGTTAAAACATGGGGTTTGGGGTCTGTTGCAAGGCTGAAAAATAGGAGAGATCGCACAAAATCGCGAGAAAATGAGGGTTTTCTGGGCCCTGCTACGACCCCTAACAGCTACTACGGGTG